CGGTTACACTACCAGGAATGCTGAGAACTATGGGAGCCCATGTCAAGGAAATCAGACCTTCGGTCTGCTGGCATTAGAGGACCAGTTACAGATGGTCACTTGTACAGACAGGCAGTTATACCAGCAAGGTACGTGACAATAATGCAATGATTTACTGAGTAACTGAATGAGGGCCTCCTCATGTTGAAATTAATAAAGCCTATCTATGTATGCAGTGGCTTCTCATCGTTTTCAAGGAAAGCGAGTCCTGTAAATAAGATGTACCTCATACCCCGTACAAAGCAATAGAGTGCTGTGACCTGGCTTTGAAAGGGACTCTTATTAAAACAAAGGATCAAGCTCATTTGTTGAGGCTGTCCCTTCTGCTACAGCATGTTATTGCCCAGTCTTCTGTCTCTGAGAATAGTAACCAGCTTTGAAGCCAAAATAAACTCTAGGTCTCTAGAACACCCATCTGCCTTATCCTTCAACACCAGGACTCCATCCAAGGTTCCTAACGTCTGAGGCATGGCACATGGTAAATCAGTTGTCAAGTGGCTTTGTTCCATCAAGACTGACAAGATGTGTCCATTTCACTTCTGCTGCAAGAATCTATTTTTTTATTCCATGTAGGAATTACTCCCAGATTGCTGGCTCTGAGACTCTCTTTGGGATGGTAAACAAAAATAGTCATTCTCCGTGTGAAAATAATCTGGCCTTCTAAAAATGTTTCACTGGGATCCAAATAATGTCTAAGAAGAAAAATCACAAAAATAAGATCACATCTATTAACAGATATATCCTTTCTATTCCTATGCACACAATAATTATCTTATTATAACCTTTGGTTCACACTACTACAAATGCATTACAAAAGTCTAAGTTTGTAACTTATAAGTAATGTGTTTATGATTTTGGTAATTCCTTAAACAACCAGGCTACAACCAGGAAAGTTATGAAAAATCACAATTTTATATCCTGATATTAGAAAAAAATTGAAATACAAGTGAAAAGTCATAGTTTAAAAAAAAAAAAAAAGCATGCCCTTCCTTTTATGAGCTCTTCCTAGGGTTTTTCTAGAATTTTCTCTTATGTTCATGATGGCACCATATTCAAATCAAAGAACTAGAGCTGGAGAATGCCAGCAGCTAGCAAAAGGCACCGACAGAGCATCTGTTCCACAAGGTTTACAATCACGGATGCTGGAATACGGGGGCTGGAGAGACGGCTCAGTGGCAAATACTGCACATTGCTCCTGCGGAGGACCCAGGTTCTGTTCCCAGCACCCACATATGAGGTTCACAATTACCTGTAACTCCAGTTCCAGGGATCTGAAGCCCTCTTTTAGCCTCTGCAGACACTTGCATGTATTTGTATCACACACACACACACACACACACACACACACACACACACACACACACACACACACACACACCAGGTACACAGTATGTGCATACAGACACTTAACATGTACTACATCCAATGAAAAGCATCCCTTGTCTTCCGAAGGGATCAGCTCTGCGTCAGTTACAATGTTTTAATCCTTCAACTGAAACCTTTTTGGTTTTGATACTTTATATCCTTCTGCCTTATAAAACACAGAGCCCAGCCGGTCTTGAGTGATGAATAAGTTGTCTCATGTGATTAAACAGTGCTTCTGGAAATACCGACAGAGAACAGTTGTTTTGTGGTTGTTTCCTTGTTCCCTTAAATCCAGTGCTGACTGCTATATCACCTATTGGTAAATTTATTTAAGGCCACTCCACATAGTTAAAATGAAAGTTTATTAGTGGCGCAACTTACAAATGAAGGGATAGGTAGGTCGCAGGGTCTGGGGAAGGTGTATCGCAGTCCAGCGGTGTTCTCTGTAGCTCTGCTCTGTTAACCTCCACTGTCTAGGGTCCCGGAACAGAGAGAGCGCTGGCCCATCCAGATCTCGGGTCTCCAGGTGGCTCCCTTGGCCCCACCTTGTAGGTGTGACAGTTACCGAAGCCTCAATGGGGGTTGGAACTTCCAGACCAAAGCTGGAATGGCTACCCACTACAGTCACCCTAATGTACAGCCTTGTACAGGCTGTACTGCCTGCAACTCACCCCTTTCTTGGAACACCCCAACTGGCCCACAGTATATTTGCCTAGACAGTTCCACTAATCACACACTTAGATGGACTCTTTCTCCCCCACCCTGCCCTTCTCCATCCTTTGGGGAATGATATTTTAAATGTTTCAGTCACGAGTCAAAAATATTTCCCAATACCTTTGAAGAGGAAACCTTCAGATCTCATTAACTAAATCATAGACCCAAGCCATCCCTGGTAATCTGAATGACATCATCACTTAAATTAATGATTTTTACCCCCATGAGATGATGAGGAAGCCACAAAATTGAGGGTTGTTCTGATAAGAGCGAGTGAGTGTTGTGGTGGGTCATCTCTGACTGTGCAGGATAATGTATCATTCTCCTTCACATGGACTTCCTGTGGCCTCCCTTTTCCTCTCCCCAGTGGGTAGCCCCAAAGGTTTGAGGTTCAAGGGTTTGGCCCTCAAGGGGTGGCTCTGCTTGGGGAGGTTATGAATCTTAAGAAGGCAGAGCCTTGGTGGAGGAAGTGCGTCACTGGGGACAGCCTTGGTGAGGTGACAGTGTGACCGAATGCCTCCTGTCCCCACCGGTGTGCCTTCCTTGCCACGGCCAGGCTGTATCCCTGTGAGCCAGAATAAATCCTTCTTCCTTTACACTGCTGCTTGTCGGGAGTTTGTCACCACAAGAAGAAGATGCGAACACCCACAGCAGGCCATTTTTGTAAACGGAAGACCAGAAACGACTCCTCTCTCCCTCGCCACTAACTGTAAGGAAGTGAGTGAGGAGACCCTTGGACTCATTGTCTCCCACCGCTCAGTCACTCAACAAATATCTGCTGACAACTTACTACCGGCCAAATCTCAGCTTGTCAGTCAAATGTCACAACTGAGACAAATCCATGAATCCTGGGCATGCACAGGGATGCCAGGAGCAATACTGGAAGACTCTAGGTACAGAAAAGGGACAGCTGATTGCAGCCACATGGTCATCTGGAGACAAGGAAGTCTAGAAGACAGATGCAGAGGACGTAGGTCAGACACCAAGTTCAGGAGGAAAAAGAGATGTCATTGAGTAGGAAGGCAGCTGAGAACCAAGGAGAAGCCTCCTCGGGCAAAGACAAATGCTTGGCAGGAGAACTTCCTGAGCTGGGATTCAGGATCTGAAGTGTATGGGAGTGACCTACGGCTGTCGGAGCTGAGAACACCACAACCAGAACACTATTATTATTATTATTATTATTATTATTATTATTATTATTTTGTCAAGGATATCACAAAAGCATGGGGTGGGGAGCAAAGATGGAAATTCCCCAGTGCACACATGTGAGGTGATTCCAGAACCTCTGCAAATATAACCCACACATCACCTGCATTAGTCACAATGAGCAGCCTTGGGATGAGGAGGACAGAAGGACAACAGGCGCCCTACGGACAGCTGCGGTCACCAGTATAAGTCATCTGTTACTGGTGGGGTTTCCCCTGGGGGTCTCTTACAGTACCACCTACAGGTAAATTCGGGAAAGATGTGGTGGTCCTTTTCATCCCTTGGCCCACCAAGTCCAGACACTCTTTTACTGTTTTTAGAGCAGGATGTTAAATATTTATCTCAGGGTTTGCAGTTGGAGTTTCATGCTTACCAACTATGAGCTCAACTATTCTGCTCTACATGTTCTCAGCTCAGAACACTGCACCACCCCACAAGTTAATCAGATTCCCTATACATAGTTTCCTCCAGTGTGTAATTACTGGCCTGGCTTTACATTATTTTAGGATAGTGTCAGCAGCTAATTGTGGTATAGTCTGAATGCCTTGAAATGAGCTCGGCTGGGTATGAGAATAGCCCAGCAAATTTTGGGCTGTGTGAGCATCATTTCCATAAGTCTATTGTTCAGGACACTGAACGTGGCAGATTAATGGTAGAGTCCAATCCAAAGGGCAGACGGCTGTGGAATGTGACTGGCCTCCAACTCCATCTGCAATTCCTGAGCTGAATGCTCCTCAGCACCTACCTGCCATGCTTAGCTCCCGGTGGAAGTCACATCTGGCCTGAGCACATGAAAGATCCTCTGGCCCTGGGACAGCCGAGTCCCTAACACAGCTATTTAAGAACAAACCTGGACCCAAAGGAGGAAAACTGATGCTCCCCTCAGGTTTGCTTTCAGGAGAGGAAATTTCCCTTCCATTTTCCACTGGGGGGCACAAGGAGAAATAGACTATATTTTCTTTTTTTTAAAAAAGGTGTGACATATGTACACAATGGAGTTTTATTCAGCCATAGAGACGGATAAGATTATGTCATTTTCAAGACAATGGATGGAACTGGAGCTTATCACGTAAGTGAAATAATCTAGACTAGGCAAAATTGTTTTCTCTCAAATGCAGAATTTAGGGGTGTGTGCCTGTGTGTGTGTGTGTGTGTGTGTGTGTGTGTGTGTGTGTGTAACTAAAAGGGATCTGTGAGGACCGTGAGGGAGGAGGTATCCTAAAGTAAGTGGAGAACAAAGAACAAAAAAAAAAAAATAATGAATCCAAAAAAGCCAAAGTATCAGACGTTTTCTCTCATTTTCAGAATATTAGTTTGTGAAGGCGCACCCGTGGGGAAAGACGGTCCCGAGAGGAGGAGACCTGGGGAAGGTAGTGGGTGACAGAACAAGCAGAAAGATACTGTGTATGCAAACAGCATACTGAAACAAATTACTTTGTATCTGTTTTGGTTACTTTGTTGCTGTGATAAAGGACTACAACAGCGACCTCTGTTTTGGCCTGAGGTTCCAGAGGGAGAGTTCATACTGGCAGGGGTGAGTGGCAGGAAACTGAGGGATCACATCTTCAAACACACAGAAAGCAGAGTACACCGGAACTAGGGCAAGATTATAAACTCTCAAAGCCCGCCCTCTGTGACGTACTTCCTCCAGCAAGGCTCCACCTTCTAAAGGTTCCATAACTTCTCCCAAGCAGTATCACCAGCTGGGAACCAAGAATTCAAATACGTGAGTCTATGCAGGACGTTTCTCATTCGAATCACCATAGCGTGTGTCTTAGGGTTGCTATTGCTGTGATGAAACACCATGACCAAAGCAACGTGGGTTTATTTGGTTTACATATCCTGAATCATAATCCACGAAGAGACACCAAGGCAGGAACTCAAACAGGGCAGGAACCTGGAGGCAGGCGTTGACTTGACACAGAGGCCATGAAGGGGTGCTGCTGACTGGTTTGCTCCTCATGGCTTGCTCAGTCTGCTTTCTTATGGAACCTAGGACCACTGGCTGTACCCACAACGCTCTAGGCTCCCCTGCATCAATCACTAAGAAAATGCCTTACAGGCTTGCCTCCAGCCCAGTCTTTTAGAGGAATTTTCTCAGTTTAAGTTCTCTCCTCTCAGACAATTCTGGCTTGTATTACGTTGACAAAAAACAAAAACAAAACAAAACAAAACAAAACAAAAAACAACTAGTCAGGACAATCCTAACTTTAAAAAAAAGTAACAGAGTAAAAATACAGGGAGTCTCCTCTGGCTTCCTTCTCTGCCATTCCCTCAGGGATAATGCTGATGGGTGAGCTTGGGGGAGAGAGAGAGAGAGAGAGAGAGAGAGAGAGAGAGAGAGAGAGAGAGAGAGAGAACTCTGCTGATTCAGCCCTTCCACTCACTCTACCCACATTCTGCTCCCAGGGTACCAGAGTTCTTCTCTCCCATGTAACAAACAGCTCATACCTACAGCAAGGGCTGTGTCTGCTCAGGCCCAGTGATCTGATCCCCATAATTCTCCCAATAATTAAGAAAAGAGTGTTGGTTTCACATCCTAAATTGGAACTCCAGCTGGAAGGTGGCACAGAGGAAGGGTACACAAACTCTAAATTCCTGTCTGTTATAACAGGACACTAAACAGTCGTGTCTAAAGCTAATGAGTCACAAGACACCACTATATATTATTCAGTGATATAGAACATGGGCGGCGGGTGTGGCTCAGGTGGTGAAGAGCGTACCCGGCACACAGGAAGCCCTGGGGTCCATCCACAGCAGACCATAAACCTGGCATACTGACACACCTGTGATCACACCACTTAGGAAGGGGAAGCTCGGATATCAGAAGTTAGGGTCATTTTCAGTCACATGTCATGTTCAAGACCAGCCCGGGCTACAGGAGACTTAGTCTAAAAAAGAAGAGACCACAGCTATGGCGAGACACACCTGGAATCCAGCACTGGGGAGACTGAGCAGCAGCACCATGAGCTCAAGGCAGCTACACTACTACATAGTGAGTCTGAGGACAGCGGGAGCAGAATGAGGGAAGGACAGAGCAGGAAAGAGGAGTTCGTCAGTCATCTGGATTACCATAAATGAAGACCACAGAGAGGCACTGTCAAATGTCAAACAGGGTGTGTGTGTGTGTGTGTGTGTGTGTGTGTGTGTGTGTGTGTGTGTGTGTGTATGTGTGGTGAGTACGCTCGAGAAAGTATGCACACATGTGAACACGCTGAGACGGGGTCTCACTCTGTTGTTCTGACTGACCTCGACATGTAGACCAGGCTGGCCTAGAACTCGGAGATCCCCTGCCTCAGCCTCCTGGGTACTGGGATTAAAAGCATGTGCTGGGGATTAACGGGCAGTTACGTCTCAGGGTTCCGGAGGTCGGAAGTCCCAGATGAAAGGCTGGCTGTGGAGGCTTCTGGTAAGGCTCCTCCTCCTGGTTTGCGGACCGCTATTTCTCGCTGTGGGCCTGCCGCTCTACTCGCCACAGGCGGGAGAATTGTTTGTCTCTTCCTCCTCTTACAAGGACACCATCCCGGTGGCTGGAGAGATGGCTCAGAGGTTAAGAGCACAGACCGCTCTTCCAGAGGTTCTGAGTTCAATTCCCAGCACCCACATGGTGGCTCACAACCATCTGTAATGAGATCTGGCACCCTCTTCAGTATACATAATAAATAAATAAAAGCCTTAAAAAAAAAAAAAGAAAAGAAAAAACCAAGGACACCATCCCTCAGATCAGGGCCTCTGTGAGTGGAGCTCACTAATGCTGGTCAGCAAAGCAGAGACGTTCCAGAACTGTGGGAGCCAACAGAAGAGTTTGAGGACCCTCTGCTTAACCTAACTTCAGCCAGGCTCCTCCCACCCCTCCTCTTGACCACAGCTGCTGAGCTCAGTTTCAGCACAGATGAGCCAGTTCATCCGTGAACTGCACAGATGCTCCAATCTTCTCTGGCACCAGGATTACAGGTGTGTGCCGAAGTACGTACCTTTTTACGTAGGTGCTCAGGGTCTGAACTCAGGTCCTCACTTTATCCACTCAGCCATCTCTCCAGCCCCATTCTCCATATTTTGTTTTGTTTTGTTTTTTGTTTTGTTTTGTTTTTCTGAGACAGGGGTTTCTCCATGTAGCTTTGGTACCTGTCCTGGATCTCATTCTGTAGCCCAGGCTGGACTCGAACTCACAGAGATCCGCCTGGCTCTGCCTCCCGAGTGCTGGGATTAAAGGCATGCGCCACCACCGGCCGGGCTCCCTTTCTCCATATTTTTAACAAGCGCCAGAATTCCTTAGTAATACAAGATAAGCATGCTTTGAGATTACCAGTTGGCTCCATCCAAATGGTAAGGAGACATTTCAAGCTTATAAACTAAATGTAAACTAGAATGAAGTCTTCATCTGTCACTGCACACAGCTCCCTCTCCAGCCCCTCTATGCCCCTCTCTGGCTTCCTTCTGTAGAAAGCAGCTCCCCAAAAATGATGCCCAGTAAACCCAGCCCTGGTAGTTACTGTTGCTCCCATTGTATTTGAGCTGCAGCTGGTGAACAGGCTCTGGTGGGCAGAGTGTGGAAAGGCAACGGCATGTCATTCAAGATCCTGCAGGCAGCTGCAGTCTTCCTTCCTACCGTTCCCTTCACCTTCTCAGTTGGTTTTTTACTTCTGTTGCTGTTTGGTGGTGCTGAGAACCAAACCCAGGACCTTGTGCATGCTAGGCAAGTCCTCTGCCACTGAGCTGCATGGTTTGCTGGTTTGGATGAAGTCAGCTGCTGTGTTGAAGGGCCCCATATGCGAAGGAACTAAAGGCAGCCAGTTTCTGGACAGCAGCCACATGAACAGGATGCTATCAGCCAACAGCCCACAAGGAACTGAACTATGAGTGATGTGAGGAGACAGCTGCATGTCTGAGGATGACCTCCTAGTTCACAGCCTGTGAGAAACCCTCCAGCAGAGGGCCTGGTTGGACCTCCCCAGGTTCCAGCTCACTGGGAGGTAGTTTGCCAGACAAAGATAATGTATCTCCCATGGCACACTTATCACTAAATAAAGTCCTTTGTGGATAGCACAGACCATCCTGAGACTCATTTTGGATAGCTTAAGGCACACAGAATCCACTTTATCATGCCAGGAAGGACATGTAGAATCCACTTATCACACCAGGCAGGCAGTGATCTAGTGTAAACCTGACTCCAGAAGAGAAAATCTCTGTGGAGATTTGAGAATCCAGATCCAGGGAGTGTCTTTTCTGGTCCCCTCTGAGTGCTGCCCCTCCCATCATGTGAAACAAAGGTTTAGCTGTGTCTGTGGCTCTGAGACAGAGCACTTGCCTAGCAAGCACAAGGTCCTGGGTTCAATACCCAGTACCGCCAAATACCCCTTGGTGACAGTTCATCAGGAGGGCTGAGAATCACCGTGGAGAGGATACTCTTCCAGTATGTCCAGGATGGCATTTCCAGAAAGGCTTACCTGGAGAGGGAAGCGCCCCACCCCCCCAGCTATTGGGGCCATTCCCTGGGGTGGGGTCCTGGGCTGGATAAAAGGAGGAAGTGAGCTGAGACCAACACTCACTTCCGTCTGCTTCCTGACTGTGGCCCCTGTGAGCAGCCATGCCATGATCCTGCCTCTCTGTCTTCCTGACATGATAGACTACCCAGACATGTTCAACCCCTGACCCACACATAGCCAAGGATGCTATGGCTGTGGCCTAACAAAACTGTAAATGGCCTTCCATTACTGCAAGCTTTCCGTGTGGATACTTTGGTAATTGAATGGTTCTAGAGGTGAACTTTGTCGAGGACACTAATGTAATCATTACATCTTTAACCAAAAGCCAAAGGAGACTTCTCCTTCCTTAGGTGTTTTTGGTCAGGTATTTTGTTGCAGCAATGAAAAGAAAAGAAAGAAACTAATATGATACGCCCCTAGCACCCACAAATCATAACTCCATCCCTTGTTTCTCAAGATTTTGTTGATTTGTTCAACATTAAGCAAGCATTACTAGCCTGGACATCCTGATTATGGTGATAATAACAATTTGGCAAAGTCCGGTCCTCAAGCAGCTCACATTTTAATGAAGGGAAGAATTAGCAAAAATAAATAAATACAAACATATGTCAGACAGTGAATTGTGCTATAAAGTAAAACAAAATACATGACAATACCGAGTGGCCAAATAGCTTTGGCAGAGGAATGGCATGCGCTCACCTAGCAAGCGCAAGGCCCTGGGTTCCAGCCTTGCACTAAGAGGGAGCAAAAGGACAAGAAGACAGCTCTTTTGAGGGAATGTTTTGGCAGATACTTGAAATAATAGAATAAGCCATGAACAATCTACCATGGATTATTCTAGCCTGATGAAAAACAGGTGCGGGGCTGGAAAGTATGGCTCCCTGGGGAAAGTGCTTGCTGCTTGAGTGTGGGACCTGAGTTCAGATCCCCAGAAGTAGTACCAAACATCTGTGATACCAACATTCCTGTCCTCACGTGGGGGAGGGGGAGAGAGAAGAGAGTCCCCAGAAACTCATGGGGCCAACGGTGGACAAAAGACCCTAACTCAGACAAGGGTTAGGATCAAGACCCAAGGTTGTGCCAGAGTAGTAGCACAGGCTTTTAATTTCAGGACTCAGGAGGCAGAGGCGGATCTCTGGTTCGAGGCCAGCCTGGTCTACAGAGTTAATTCCGGGTCAGCCAGGGCTACACAGAGAAACCCTGTCTTAAAAACAAAAATGACAAAAACAAACAAACAGACAAAGAGACTGGAGGTTGTCCTCTGACCTCCACAAGCGCACCATACCACATGTGTGTTCCTTCCTGCAGACGATAAACAAGTAAACCAATTAATTAGATTTAAAATACTAAGTAATAGAAAGGCTACTTCTAAAAATCAGGAAAGTGACTAAATAAAGGAGAATGAATGTAAGTCAAGTACCATGAGACTTATTAAATCTCACTTGGTTGCAAATGACAAAGATGAGAAAAGTATTCTATATTAATTATTAGTTTCATTTTGTAAGAAATGGTCCTGGGGCTGGAGAGATGGCTCAGCAGTTAAGAGCACTGGTTGTTCTTCCAGAGGACCCAGGTTCAGTTCCCAGCACCCACATCCAGTAACTCCAGGGTATCTAATGCTCTCTTCTGGTCTGTCTGCTCACATGCATAGTACACACAGAGACATGCAGGCAAAACACTCATACACACAGAATAAGAAGTAATTCTTTTTTTTTTTTTTGAGTGGTGCTTTTATATTATTTCTTTGACCAACCTATCCATGTTGAAACAGTTAGCTGTCCTGAAGTAGCTAAGTGGAAAGTTCTTCTGCATTTTTATGACCATGTGAGGAAATGTAGCCTTGAAGAGATAAAGCCCCATCTCTGTTTTGAGCCTGAGGAGAAAATTGAAATGTTTACCCCTTCACGAGGCCGACATGTCTGTCTGATTCAGAAGGCTTCTGCTGCTTCACTCCATTTCAGCAAAGCAACAGGGCTCCAGCCCAGAGCTGTGGTCGATAGCGCTTTCATCATTTCCTGTGAAGAAATCTATTCACACAGTCCTTAAAACTCATCCCATCGATTCATTTTAAAGAAAAGAAAAACCGAGAGAGGAAAAGTTTGAACCCAAATATAGATGTAAGCTTTACAGTCATTGATTTCATTCTGCTAGGAGGCCAGATTGAATCAGCCTCATTGGTGGATGTGTGGAGAAGAAAGAAATAAACAAATTGAATGCTATCGGTACAAAGCGGTCCTGGAGTACCTGATGCTGGCGGGAAGACGTGGAGATGGGGGGCCATTGATTGCTTCCGTTTCTTCCTCCTTAGGAGCTTTTTGTTTTTTTTCAAGATTCACAATTCACTCCAGCCTCTGAACACACAATTATTTACAAATCTAAGATCAGACCCCTTTATGACCTCAGCCACACTTCTACGAGCCCCCAAATGTCATGTGCTGATTTCAACAACCTGCAGTGGCAAACTGGTCCACGTCAGTCCCACCCTTAAGACCCTCCAGTCTCAGCCAAAGTCAGTTTGAAAAATCCATGGAGGAAGAGGAGAGAGAAGTTTACCTCCTCTTTTCTGTGGCAAATGAGACTTTTCAAACTCATCAATATTCCACTATGAGAAGGTTCTCAATTCTTTCTTTCACCGTCAGATAAATTGACTTTTTCCAAGTCATGCGCACTCCTCAGTGTGGGAAAAGATGTCTTCCACTTTTCACAACATTCTGTAAGAATTCTCGTACCAGAAAACCAAGGGAGAAGCCAGGTGTGTTGGCGGATACCTGTGATACCTGCAGGAGAATATGGTGTTAAAGGGCATTCAGGGAGACAGACAGGGATGGGGAAGGGGGGCAAGCTAGGCTGAGACCCTTTGTTTCTGGGTAGCTCTTCCTGGGCAATGACCTCACCCTCTAGCATCAGGTTGGTCTGATCTAAGTGTCAGACCAATGCTAGTCACTGAGGAGCCCACAGATGGAAGACCAACTCCTCCCCGAGTGCCTCAAGACTCTGCAGGGAAAGGCATCTCTTAGGGTAGAAATCTGGTAGAGAACGGCTTTCTCCAATGATCCTCATTTAAAATGCCTTCTTCCAGGAAGGAATCCTGCATTACCACCCCCTCTTACTCCCTTTAGTATACTATAACAAAACACCTGACACTGGACAATTTATAAACAGCAGAAGTGCATTATATAGTTCCAGCAGCTATGAATTCTGAGGGTAAGGTGCTAAGAGATTTAGTGTCTGCGAAGGCTGTTACCATGAGCTTATCAGGAAAACCAATGTCTGGAGGTGAGTGTTTGGGAGGAAGGTGTCTGCACTCAGACAATGGCCAAAGAAAGCGGCCAAAGGATGGAGAAGAGGGAGGTGGGCTCACAAACCGGTTCCTTTCCCCAGGAGTGAAGAAGAACAGACACAAGACAAGAGTAATGAGGAAGAGAGATGAGCTGTCAGAGAGGAATGTCTGTGACTCTTTTGGAAATAGGTAGAGACCGTCCAGAACTTCAGGCATCACTCGCCTCGTGCCTGGTGTGGTGACATTGGCTGCTGAGTGTATTTGGCCTTCAAGTAGGGAAGGGGGAAAGACGAGGTCGCAATGGGTCAAGATTACCCCAGACCATAGCTTTAGACACAGCATTTCTCAAATGACTAACATGTCTACATGCAGAGAGGAGTTGAGTTTCACCCAAAGGTCAAAGTAGCAAAGGGCACAGCTACAGTATGGAGCCGGAAGAGCCCAGCCCTCTCGTTCTAATCCGTCACCAGAGCCACCTGCGGGCCAAAGCCAAGCGTCTCTGAAATGGAACCTAATGAGCACATCCTCAGAAGTGCTGAGGAGAGCGAAGCCAGTGGGAATCTAATGTTGTCGCCCAGCTGTGTGGTCCCCAAATCAGTGAGCAAAGCCAAAGGGTCTGTTAAGGTGCTCAGGTCCTCCAGTAACAGCAAGTGAGTGGCGTTCCTTGGGGCTGTGGGTCTCCTCTGACACATTGCCTGCCATCTGAGTTGACTCTGCTTCCTTAGCTAGGGAAGGAGCTTCATGGGCAAGGTTTTCCCTCCACCACAGGGGCTCTGTCTGCTTCCTAGATGGTGTTCTGTCTTTTGGGGATGCTGGCCAGAGCCGATGTTCTCTGGTGCTTTGGGCTTCCTTATTTTCTCTCTGAGCCCCCCCCCCCTTTCACCACGTGGCTTCTTGCTCACCTCCCCTGCTCACCTCCGCTGCTCACCTCCGCTGCTCACCTCTGCTGCTCGACATGCTGGCCTAACTCTCCCAGTGGCTGCCCAGCTTCACAGCCTGTTTGCATGGCTGTTTCTCAAACTCTGACTAAACTGTGAGTTCCTTACTGAGTCCGTTTTAAGTTCTTTTATTAACAAGACTAAGAACCAAAGAGGAGCCCCGGGTTTCCCCCTGTAGCACTCAGACTGTGACTGCTCTGGTGATTTGTATTATAGTCATCCAGCATGAATACTGCAAGTGTCTCAGGCACTGTTCTCTGCTGTGAAAAGACACCATCACCAAGGCAAATCGTTTTTTTCTTTAAAAATTATTTTTATTTGTTTTACATACCAACCACAGATTCCCCTCTCATTCCTCCTCCCACTCCCCCCCAAACTCCATCCCTGACCTACCCCCCATGCCCTCCTCCAAAAGGTTAGGGCCTCCCATGGGGAGTCAGTAAAACCTGGTACATCCAGCTGAGGCAGGACCAAGCCCCTCCCCCCTGCATCAAGGTTGAGTCAGGCTTCCCACCATAGGCAATGGGCTCCAAAGAGCCAGCTCATGCACCAGGGATGTGTCCTGATCCCACTGCCAGGGGCCCCTCAAACAGACTGCTACACAACTGTCTCCCACATGCAGAGGGCTTAGTCTGGTCCCATGCAGGTTCCACAGCTGTCCGTCTAAAGTTCATGAGTTCCTATGAGCTTGGTTCAGTTGTCTCTGTAGGCTTCCCCATTTTGACACCCCCCCCCCGCCCCTTGCTCATAGAATCTGTCTTTTCTCTCTTCGACTGGACTCCCAGACCTCGGCCGGGTGCTTGGTTGTGGATCTCTGCATCTGCTTCCATCAGTTACTAAAAGAAGGCTCTCTGATGACAGTTAGGGTATTCACCAATCTAATTACTGTAGTGGATCAGTCTAATCTGGGGTCATCCTTGTGGCTTCCTGGGAATTTCTCTAGCACCAGGCTTCTCCCTTACCCCATAATGGCTCCCTCTATCAATATCTTCTCTCTTTCATTGCTCTCCCACTCGACCAAGGCAAATCTTATAAAAGAAAGCATTTAATTGGAGGCTGGCTTACAGATTCAGAGGGTGAATCCATTATCATCACGGCAGGGAGCATGGTGGCAAGCAGACATGGTGCTGGAGAAGTAGCTGAGAGCTACATCCTGATTTGAAGACAGAGAGAGGGAGAGAGAGAGAGGGAGAGAGAGAGAGGGAGAGAGACTGGGCCTGGCATGGGCTTTTGAAACCTCAAAGCCCACCCCCAGTGACAGACTTCCTCCAACCAGGCCACACCTCCTAATTCTCCTAATCTTCTTGGTTTTACTCTTGGTGCCTAAGCATTGAGATACCTGGGGGCCATTCTCATTCAAACCCACACAGATGTCAACAAACCATGTTTCCAAACAACTGTGCTTTACAATCTGGACTTTTCTGGGGAACTTTTCACATACCACCTGAGCTCCTAACCAGACCAGTCACCAGCAGAGTGACGATCTTCAGGAGAGCCTCTGCCCTGGGCTGGCCATAGTGGTGGACTGGTTGCCAAGCATGCATAAGGCCCTGAGTCCTACCCCAGCACCACAAAAACACTGACTTAACACCCCCACCCCACTTTAAATCTCAAGCAGGTCTATGGCCTTGGGGAGTAGCTGGACCTCTGAGTCTGTCTCCGCATCTATCAGATGCATCACACTGTCCATCTCCAAGTGCCCAGAGACAAGATGACATGTTCCTTCCCCTCCTCCCAGCTCCTTCACAAATCAGAGATAGCACAATAGAGGGAGGTCAGGGAATGTGTTTCCCTGCTTTTCCCCTGCCAGGTCATCAAAAATGACTCAAATCCTCCACCAAGGGTGGGACTCTTTCCCACTGAGCAACCCTTCCCCTCAGTACATTGTACAGGACACCACACACACACACTCACACACACACTCACACACACACTCACACACACACACTAAAACACACTCACACACTGAAACACACACACTCACTCACACACACACTCAAACACACTCACTCACACACTGAAACACACACACACTCACTCACACACACACTCTCACTCACACACACACTCAAACACACTCACTCACACACTCACTCACACACACACTCACTCACACACACCCCTGATGCTCCATATGCAAGGTCACTCCTGCTGTTTCCAGTCCCCACAACATTTTGGGCCTTCACTCTATCTGCACTTTCATAAACACCCCTCGTGTTGCTAGGGTGGTGAGCACACCTGTGCTCTCAGCATCACGGTGGCAGAAGCAGAAAAGTCAGTGGTCCAAGGCCAGTGTGGGTAACATATGTAAGACGTTGTCACAAAAAAATGCCAGGCTGAGGATGCAGCTCAGTGGTAGAACACCTCTATTATGTCCAACTTTTATCCCCAACACCTCTGAAGAAAAGGAAAAAGGGAAGGAAAACAGACAAACAAACTTCACATAAAGCATTTTTTTATTAAAAATCTTCCACAAGGAGTTAGGAGGGTGGCTCAGTGGGTAGAACAGCTTACTCTGTGGGCGTGAAGGGCTGAGTTCGAATCCCCAGTATCCCCCTAAAAAGCCGGGCATGGCTGTGCATGCCTGTAACTCCAGCACTCTGGAGTGAAGACAGAGGATCTTGAGGTCCCACCAGCCAGCCAGACTAGCTGGAACAGCGAGTTTTCAGTTCAGCGGGAGCCTGCGCCTCGAGGGAATAAGACAGAGAACAGGAGAGTGACTGAAGGAGGTACCTGACCTGATATCACCTCCACCTGTGGGCGCACACCTCTTCTACCTACTGAGCCAGCTTCCAGCTGCTGTGAAATAATCCTTCTGCACACTGTGAATATGTGTGATGCTCACTGGTTAATAAAAAGCTGACAGTCGGCAGCCAGGCAGGAAGTATAGGTGGGGGTAAAACTAAGGATGCGGGGCTGGAGAAGGGCAGAGTCGGGGAGGTGCCAGCCAGCCACCGAGGAAGCAGGACGTGTAGAAAGTGAGGTAACAAGCCTGAGCTATCGGCCAAGCCTTCATGAGTAACATTAAGGCTCTGTGTCAGTTATTTGGGAGCAGGTGGTTGCGACAGGAAAACTCGGACTATACCTAGCCCCTTACAGAAGATTGTTAATAAAGAGATGATTTGTGTGAAGTTTGTCTGTCTGGGCATGTGCACAATCATGGGGGTCAAAGGGTTTATTTGTCTTACAGTTACCATCTGTCATCTAGGGAAGAGCTAACTGGCAGCCAATAAGCTGCTAGGATCCACCCCTCCCCCGGGTTCTCTGGTATTGGGGTCAGAGACTCCTGCTGCCATGACCAGCTTTTTACATGGGTCCCGGGGACTGGCAGTCAGGTCCCCATGCTTGCATGCTTTAATGACCAAATCGTCTGCTCAGTCCTTTTATAGTTCTTAACGGTGCAGTCAACTTGTCATTTGTTTTGAGGTATCTTGATTTGTTTATGACAGAATCTTGCTATGTATAGACTTGGCTAGCCTGAAACTTGAACTTAAGTGATCTGTCTGCCTCAGCCTCCTGAGTGCTGGAATTACAGGCATGTACCACCAGGCTGCATAGGAGTAACATTCTTCTGATGAGAATTTTTTCATCTACCATTTCTCCTTCTTTCCTCCACTATCTTTATATAATTACAATGATTATTTGTTATAATGTGTTTTATATAAGAAGTTATGAATTGATAATTTTATGACTGCTATTGTTGAACCTTCTCTCCATCTCTTTCTTCCTCCCTCTCTCCTCCTCCTTTCACCTCTTCCTGTGTCCTGCCCATCCCGCAGCCGCTGGGACCCAAGTAAACACACAAAGGCTTACATTATTTGCAAACTGTATAGTCTATGGCAGGCCTCTTGCTAGCTAGCTCTTATATCTTAAATTAACCCATGACTATTAATCTATGTATCGCGCATGTTCCGTGGCTTTACCTGCGTCCCATTACACGCTGCTCCCTGGACGACAGGATGGCGTCTCCTGCCTCTCCTTTCTCTTCCTCTTATCTCTGTTGTATTTTTTCGCCTGGCTTCATCCTGCCCTGCCATAGGCCAATGCAGCTTTATTCATCAACCAATCAAAGCAGCACACATTCACAGCATACAGAACGACATCCACAGCAGTCCCTCCATCCTCCACCTTCTTTCCAGCATTGGACATTAAACCTAGGGTCTCACACATGTGAGGCAAGCAAGCCCTCTACCAGAGGACCATCCCTACCCTTCAGTTCTGCTCATACTGTGTAACTGCAGAAACATTATGGGAGATTCAGTGGATCCCGTTCACAGTTAAGTCTTTAAAAACTGTGCCTCCTGTGAGTAAACTCTGGGCTTTTTTAGTTGTCTATTTTTATTTGTTCACAGAGTTTATCTCTACACACACATGCACACACACATATGCACGCAAAATTCAAATCTGTAACTTCAGTGATGCATAAAGTACATTTCTCTCTCTACTCTCCTCACTGGCAAATTGCTCCTAGAGAACACAGTGGTCCTCTGTGTTCCCTTTGTTCTGAGTCAGGAACGGCTGCTTTTGCTTTGCTGACAACGTGAAAAATGTGCTCTCAAACCTCCACTGAGGCCCCAGCGCATGTTGTCAGCTCTGAACTTGACCACTCTGCCTTGCAGACTGTATCTTTACACTGGAGCTGCCCCTCGTTTATTCAAACAGAGATGCCTTGGCTTCACTCTTGCTTAGAGGCCTTTCTAGAGAGGAGATCAGAGGACTCTGTTAGTATTGGGCCGTTCTCTCTCTCTCTCTCTCTCTCTCTCTCTCTCTCTCTCTCTCTCTCTCTCTCTCTCTCTCAATGTGTATGAGTGCTTGCCTGCATGTATGTCTGTGAACCATGTGGGTGTCTGGTGTCTGCAGAGACCAAAAGAAGGGCATTAGATCCCCTGGAACTGGAGTTACAGATGATTGTGAGCTGCCATGTGAGTGCTAGGAAATCAAACCTAAGTCCTCTAGAAGAGTAGCCAGAGCTTTTAACCACAGAGCCATCTCTTCAGCCCCCCCCCCCATTACGGCATCTTAAACACAGATATCTCATTATATTTGTAAAGTATAGATATGGTTGGGTTTTTACTATTGTGTAAAAATGAAGTGTAATCTGTCTTCATTTACCGCAGACTCTTCCCATCATGCTTGCTCTGGCTACAAGATGTTTTTATACAAAATCATTCCTTTTACTTCATTTTGCATAAAATCATCCCTAGCACATGTGCTGTCTTCTCCTGAAGGCATTCATAGCACATAAAATTATTACAGGATACCAGATGTGAGGTTACTAGAGATGTAAACACAGGATCTAGGTTTAAAAGAGAAAACACTTTATCGGAGGGTGGAGAGAGCTGCTCCCAGCCTGTGAGTGAAGAGCCCTCAGCAAAGAAACAAGCTGTGTGCTCTGGAACTCAGCGCTTCAGGGCCGCCCAGGAACCTACCAGTCCTACAAGGCAGGCCAAGCCTGTGCCTGGACAGGGCATGATGGACGCCTATGCTTCAGGTAAACAGCAGTGTCTTTCTAGAAGACACCAACCAGCCCAGGCCAGTCAGCCACTTCGGCAGGAATGTTCAGCTCAGGCAGGACCTGCTGCCTCTTCCTTTTGTCTTTCAGTGAGCAGAGGGGAATTCAGAGAAATGTACTGCAGAGTCGGCGCTGCCGGGGATGAGGCAGATAATGTACAGAATGGCTTCCTTGCACTCTTTAGTACAGTTAACGGTCTGGCAACTTAATAAGTTTTAAGATGTCTGTAAAGCATCTCTAAGAGAACATATTTTTAATAATTAAACTCAAAACTGACTCATCAAAGTCACCAGCACAAAACATCCAACACCTTTGGGGAGTCACCTCCAACCCAAGGTGTACAAACCATGGCAAGGGACAGCAAGAGGCTGGGCAGTGGACGAGAGTCATTGTGTAAGGAGGACTCCTGCTCATTACATTACAAAAGTGTAAGAAAAATGCGAGGGTGTCAGATCTCGGAATTACAGACAGGTATGAGCTGCCATATAGGTGCTGGTGTAAATGGAGGCTTTCTCTGTCCCACCCATCCTGAAGCCCCTTCCCCAATTATCACACAGAGGCTTATATTAATTATTAATGGTTGGCCAATGGCTCTGGCTTATTACTAACTAGCTCTTACATTTAAATTAACCCATTTCTATTTATCTATGCATCATCACATGACCCATGGCTTACTGGTCCTTTGGCATCTTGTTCCTTGGGTGGCTGGCTTGCGTCTCCCCCAACTCTGCCCTTCTTCTCCCTGCATCTCTGTTCGGCTCTCCCATCCAGCCTTATTCTACCTGGCTATAGGTCAAATCAACTTTTATTATCAATCAATGAGAACAACACACATTCACAGTGTACAGAAGGATCCTCCCACAGCACGTTGGGAATTGAACCTGGGTCCTCTGGAAGAGCAGTCAGTGCTCTTAACCACTGAGCCATCTCTCTTTTATTATATACAAGTTTACTTTGCATTATCGAAGACTGATCATTCTTGAGATGAATTCAAAGTCGGTTCTGAACGGACAGTCCTATTTTACCTGCTTTGTTTACCTTGAAAGGGCTTGGCAGGGCACAGTGGTGCACACCTTTAATCCCAGCACTTGGGAGCAGAGGCAGAGGCATGCAGATCTCTGAGTCTGAGGCCAGCCTGGTCTACAGAGTGAGTTCCAGGACAGCCAGGGCTACACAGAGAGACCCTGTCTCAGAAACAAAACAAACAACATCAGGGCACTGAGCAAGCCATGAAGGAGAACAAATGCTGTAGGGTGCCTCAAAGAGTCAAATTCACAGAGATAGTATGATGGCGGGATCAGGCGACGGCTCAGTAAGAACCCTTGCTGTGCAAGCGTGAGGTCCTGATTGGAATCCCTCCGAGCCACATTTGAAGCTGGGTGTACCTGGAGCATCAGCCCTGGGCTGGGTGGGCAGGAAGGTGTGGGGGCTTCGCTGGCTAAAAAACAGTAAGCTTCAGTTCCGTGAGAAACCCTGTCTCAAGACAATGACACACACTTAATGGCACACGGTAACTTCCGCTGCCAGGCCTGGTGGAAACAGGAGGATCCTAAGCTCAATGCCTTTGTGAGCGAGAGAGGAATTCCAGGTCAGCCTGTGAACCTGTAAGACCCTTTCAGAAGCAATCATGAGACCCTTTCTCAAGAGAAAAGGAGCAGTTGGGGCATATAGTTCAGTGGTAGCGTGCCTACCATGTGCAAGGGCCTAGGTTCAAAAAAAAAAGAGGGAGGGAGGGGGAAGGTTGAATATGATCAAAATACAGTGTGCACATGCATGCTGTTCTCAAGGAATTAATAAAATACTTTAAGAGAATAACAAAAAGAAATTAGTAAATTTTATGTATTATGTGCATTATAAAGGAAAACACCAGTATAGTCTTTTTTTTTTAAGAAAAACTTTTAGTAATACAGAAATACCTGTGCATTGAAACAATTAAAAACATAAAACAAGTAAAAATCTTCCATGTCAGCCCAGCAGCACACAGTGGTGGCAGCGATGGCATATTGCATTTGGTAGCTGTTTGAACCATTCCCTGAGGCACCACTGTAGCTGAAGTTTTCCTGGTCCTGCCCGGCTCCCGCGGCCCTGTGGCCGTTTGGGCCCAAGTAAACACACAGAGGCTTATATTAATTAAAACTACTCGGACATTAGCTCAGGCTTATTACTGACTAGCTCTTACACTTAAATTAACCCATAATTTATGTTTAGCCACGTGGCTTGGTACCTTTTCCCAGTTCTGCCTTCACATCTCACTTCCTCTGTGTCTGGCTGGGCCAGGGGAGGTGTCTGGAGACCCGAGATCTGGATGGGCCAGCACTCTCTCTGTTCCGGGACCTGAACGGTGGAGATGGACTGAGCAGAGCTCCAGAGAACACCGCTGGACTGCAATACACCTTCCCCAGACCCCGCGACCTACCTATCCCTTAATTTGTAAGTTACGCCATTAAATAAATATCCTTTTAACTACGTGGAGTGGCCTTAATAATTTCACCAATAAGAGAGAGTGCATATGTGCATCCCATGTCATAAGGGTCCCCAGTGGCCACACCCCAGGGGCATGTACCTCAAGGTCATAGGCAGGGGTAACAGTTACCTGCTATCTCACTGTGGCGAGCCACAAGAATATGATACGGGGAGTCCAGCTGTATATAATAAGCTATACCTTGACTGACCAAGGGTCCTTCAAGTGGGAAGCCATTTATCATGGAATATTTGGTGTTATTCAGCTTTAATATTCAGCCACTCCTCTTTATGAATTTCTTGTGCTCATAATTCCCACAGAATGTGTATGTGTGAGCATCCTGCTTGGGCCAGTACCTGGATAAGGTCTGTAGGCAGGGCCTTCTGCCTCTGAGCTCCCTGCTCCCTTTTTAGCATTTGATTGGGTATCTGCCTTCTGCAATTTTCCCCTCTAGCTATGGCCAGCCCCAAACAAGGCCCTGAAGGACTAGCAGGGAAGAGAATAGTGGAGACCATGCCTTCCTTGCCTTCAGGCCTAGTGGCATTCCAGAGCAACTGACCGAGAACAAAGGAGGTTTTTACATATCTGGGTGGTGTGAAAGGTGGAACAGGATTCCTGAGAGACAGAACCGCATGGCCAGAGAGAAGAGAGGAAGACAGAGGTTCTGTAGAGGGTAAGGCAGATCTCCTGTAGAGTTTTCTGAGAGCCAGGAGTGAGGAGCCAGGAAGGAGAGATGGAGGACGAAGGAACAGAGGACGAAGATGAGGTCAAAAGCACAGGAGCTTCCTAAAACTACGAGGACAGGAAAAGTGGGCACAGAGAGGAGCTGAGTGTGAGGACAGGGTTGAAGCTGTGTAGATAGAATTTTGTCACAGAGGGATGGAGTGAATGGACAAAGAGCTTGGTGTATCTAGACTCATTCCCCCCAAAAAAACAATTGTTGCCATTCATAGTTTCTCTTCTGGGCCCCCGGAAGAACACTATTAAGGCTGGTCCATTATAATATTTGAGCCCTCACTAGGGGTGGTGTGCTGTGGATATCGCTCTGTACACTGTGAATGTGTTGCTCTGATTGGTTAATAAATAAAATGCTGATTGGCCAGTAGCCAGGCAGGAAGTATAGCATAGGCATGACATTTGCCAGAGTCTCAATGGGGGTTGGAACTTCCAGATCCAAGCTGGAATGGCTACCCACTACACTCTCTCTTCACTACCTTGTGGTTTTGGATGCTAGAACGGACCAGGGCAGAGATTGCCAGAGAACAGCATTGGACTGTGCCTCATCCTTCCAAGATCCTGCAACAAATTCCTTTATTCTGTCTTGTGAGTTAACACCCAAATAAGTTCTTTTGTTCATTAAATAGATTCCATGGATTGCTAGAGATATAATCCCAATAGCATATGCCTGTAATCCCAGCACTTGGGAGGCAGAAGCAGGTGGATCTCTGAGTTTGAGGCCAGACTGGTCTACAGTGCAAGTTCCAGGACAGCCAGGGATACACAGAGAAATCCTATCTTAAAAAAAAAAAAAAAAAAAAAAAAAAAGGAAAAAAATCTAGCATCTAGCATCTTCCCCACGCTTCCTGTGATACCAACCATGGAGCCTTCCCAGGGTGCTCTGTGATCTGTGTTACTGAGCATGTGCTTGCTCCCTTTCTGCAGTCAAATGCTTCTAAATGACCCAAGCATGTGATGACTGCCTTAGAGACAAAGTCTGGGTTTGGTTTGGTTTTTAGAAAGAATCCAAAAGCAGAGCTCTGAAGAGGGAGCCTGTAACATTCATCTTCAGTCAAAATCGGGCCACCCTGAGGAAGCA